AGAGAGAGAGAGAGAGAGAGAGAGAGAGAGAGAGAGAGAGAGAGAGAAAGAGAAAGAAAGAGAAAAAACAAACAAAAACACCCAAATGTCACCTCCTCCAGGAAGACTTCCAAGATCAGGGCAGTCTTCCTGGACAGGACCAGTTGCTGGGGCTCCCAAAGCACTTTACACAATTCTCTCTTTAAATTCTAGCGAAAGACGTCCCAGGAAAACTGAGCTCCGTTAGCACGTCGTGGACTCTGCGCATCAGCTCTTCCTGGGGTCGCAGGCTTGTCCCTGCTGTAAACGGCAGAGGTGCCCTCCTGGCTGCCCGGCGGAGCTCCTAAGGCCCAGCCGCCCCACTCGCCCCAGGGCGCGGCACCCCAGGCCTGGAACAAGGAGCCTCTCAGGAAACGTTGGTGGATCAAATAAATGAGCCGTTGTGTCGCCTGCTTCTGGAACCAGAATGTGCGTAAACCCAGGGATCCACCACGGCGTGCCAAGGACTCAAAATCCACGGCAAACCGTTTCCATTGCCAAGTTCACTACATCTTTTGAAGGAGAATTCGTCTTTGTACATAATGAACACTGTCCGCGTGGAGTGGAGGGTGAACTTTTTTTTTTTTTTTTTAACACTGGGGCCGGAACCCAGGTCCTAGCACATGCTGGGCAAGCTCTCTGCGCTGAACTACGTACCCCAACCCCTGAGATAGATAGACAGATATGGTGGGGTCTGAACTCAGGGACACTTAATTACTAAGCCACATCCCAGTCCTTTTTTGTTTTTTATTTGGAGACAACGTCTCCTTAATTCGCTTAGGGCCGCACTAACTTTCTGAGGCTGGCCTCCAACTTGCAGTCATCCTGCTTCAGCCTCGGAAGACTCTGGGGTTACAGGCATGTGTCACAATGGCCAGAAAGGTGACTTTTTAATGACAAAATAAGGCATCAGTGGGGCTCCCCGGTAATCCCAGCAGTTCAAGAGGCTGAAGCAGAAGGGTCGAGAGTTCAAAGCCAGCCTCAGCAACTTAGCGAGACACTTAGCAACTCAGGGAGACCCTGTCTCTAAATAAAGTACAAAAAAGGGCTGGGGATGTGGTCTGTGGGCACCGTTGGGTTCAGTCCCCTGTACCTAAATAAATGACTAAAGCTTCAAAGAAATCTCTATGGAAGAGCTGGTTCCTGAAACCCCCTGGAGGAGAGGGCAAGCCTCCCTTTTCTTCTCTGTGCTGGAGAAGGTGAGTAATGGGTCCGCCAGCCCTGTCCAGCTCTGCCTCCAGAGAGGAGCAAGGCCTCTGTGGGTCTCACGGGGGAGGAACTCATCATGGAATCGGACCTTTGGTGATCGTGGGTCAAAAATAAAAACCCAGAGGGGATGGCGGGAACATTAACAAAATGGCTGGCCTGGGCTGCGGTGCGGCTCAGTGGTGCAGCCCATGTCTAGCACGCACAGAGCCCGGGTCGCACGCTCAGCATCACCAAAGAAAAATAGAGGCTTCAGGTGGCTGTTAGAGAAGCTTGACACAAAAGCGAAGCCTCCGTGTGCTGGTGACATGGGCATCGCCACCATCAGTCAGTGTTTAAATTCCTTTATGAAGAGTTACTCAAGCATACGGAAGGGGGAGTTAATAATAAGAAGGTTACTGAGGGTGTCAATCAGGCATCTCACTCCAGTCCAGTCTGCAAAGCTAAGCGGGAATGCAGATACGCAAATCAAGGACGGGGAGCAAGAAGGACTGGCAGGGCCTGTGGAAAACCGGAACAGGAGCTCCATCTGAAAGGGAGGCAGAGGCTTCTCAGTCCCAACAGGTTTTCTTCAGGTGACAATGAAGGTCTATTTGACAGATCCTCTCTTCCCCCCATTTTTTTTAAGTGAAGGGATCTTGGTATATTGCCAGGGCTGGCCCCAAATTCCTGGGCTCAGACAAGTCTTTCTCCGGTCTCAGCCTCCAGGTGGCTGGGACTAGGAGTGTGGGCTCCCTTGTCTAGCAGATTCTCTCGTTTCAAATAGAAGCCAGAAATCTGGAGTCCTTTTACGTTTCATTTTAAAAGTCGGTCACTGACTTAAAGCTTTTGGAAAGTAGAGCTGAACAAATCAAGCAGATCTGAGCCCAGTTTCCTGAGGAGAGGGTTCCGATTCGTGGCCTCTGAGTTAAGCCTTTCCCTCCAACTCTCAGTGGAGTGCCCTGGGACGGGACGCAAGGTCACTATCACACTCCCCCCTCCCCCTCAGACTCTGCCCATTGACAAACCCGCACTGGCCACTTGATGCAGATCCTGGATGGAAGGTCCCCAACAGAGAGGCCACCTGCCTGCCCAGAAGAGCCTCTTCCCTCCTGGTCACTCCCAGATCCCTCACTGCCCTGCCCTGCCCTAAAGTGGGAACAGGCCCCCTGTCCAGTCTGCTCCCAGGATGACCCAAAGGAGAAAAACACATTGATGGGAGAAAGTCTTTGAAATTTGGGAGAGGAAGTTTGTCTTTGGAGGTTAGACCAATACTGTGCTGCCTCTCCCGGCAGAAGCAACACATGTGTACATATATGTTCACCAAGAAACACAGGGCACCTAGTCTGTGAATCCGTCATAAAAAAATGCAAAAATCAAACTGAACTTATCTGTGACCTTGAAAGTCAGGGGGCTGGCTACCCTTGAAAGGATACAGTGACTTGGACAGAGTACAAGACACCCTTCTTGGGATGCTGATGGTGTCCATTTATGATTTGGGTGCTATTCATGTGTGGGTCTTCATTTATAATCTATATGCTCCTCGTTACAACCATTGTAATTCAATGAGTATTTAAAAATAAAGTTTCAGAGGAATGGGTTTCAGGTATGGTTTGATCCAGAGACACGTGGTGTCATTAGGACTATGGCTGGGTTTGTCAGTGATTCTCTTAGCTCTGCCTTCCTCCTCAGAACAGCCTCTTCTAGGATTGTGGATGCAGCTCAGTGTCATGCTGGGTGCTTAATGTGCAGGAATCCTTGGGTTCTATCCCCAGCACCCAAAAGAAATGTCTTCTCTCATGATGCCAGAATGTCCTTCTGCAGCTTCCAGGCTTACTCTTTCATATTTGGGGGAGGAGGAGTATCCCTGCTTCACTAGTCGCAGAAGTCCTTCCCGTCATTCTAATGGCTTTACTGAGTTCAAGAGTCCAGGCTCTAACCAATCTCTCTGACCAGGGAGATATGTCCCGATTATTTTGGGCCCCAGTGAGTGACCATTTCTGAAGCAAATAAGTGGCAAAGGGGTGGGGTTGTTAGTTCCACCCAATCAGGGCCCGCCCTTGGAGCAGGCAGGTGGCCTTTATTAATGGATTAGGGAGGGCAGAATGGACACAGTGGGGGGGGGGATGGATAGGGGACATTTATTTTTCCCTGTGTAAATTTTATTTGAAACAACCACAAACCTGCAAAAAAAAAAAGTTACCAAGATGGCACAGAGAAGTTTTTGCTCTGAACCTTTCTGAGAGTACCTTGCCAATTTGGTGCCATAGGCTCCCTGAATATTGCGGCATGTGTGTCCTACAAAGAAGGACACTCCTCTGGGTGTGGTGGGGCACCCCTGTAATCCCAGGGACTCAGGAGGCTGAGCCATGAAGATCAGGAGTTCTCAGCCAGCCTCAGCAGTTTAGTGAGGCCCCTAAGCCACTAGGCGAGGCCTGTCTTGAAAGAAAGAGAGAGAGAGAGAGAGAGAGAGAGAGAGAGAAAGAAAAAGAAAGAAAGAAAAGGGCTGAGGATGTGGCTCAAGCGGTAGCCTGCTCGCCTGGCATGCGTGGGGCGCTAGGTTCGATCCTCAGCACCACATAAAAAAAAAATAAAGATGTTGTGTCCACCGAAAAACTAAAAAATAAATATTAAAAAATTCTCTATCTTAAAAAGGGAAAAAAAAAGAAAAATTAAGGGACATTCCATTGTAAAGGGTGCTTGTCCCTTTGACGAATAAGTATTATAGGGGCAGGAGATTAAATTGGAAGCCAGCATCATCAAGTGGCAACGATACATACTTGATGTTCTCTCTCTCTCTCTCTCTCTCTCTCTCTCTCTCTCTCTCTCTCTCTCTCTCCCTCTCTCTCTCTCTGCCTTCTGGCTTTAGCTTTCTGCAGGAAAGGAATCTACTGAGTGCGTGTAAGGGCACGTGCCTGCGCAGACTGTGATGTGTGACGTTGAAATAAAGAGCAAAGTTGTGGAAAGATAAAAAGGGTTTATTCTTCTGTACTTTGTAATCTCCTGATTACTTTGTAACATTTCACATTTCACCAGTAAGTTTTCCGAGAAACGCATGATCATGAAATAAATGAATCAGATTTAAAAAAAAAAAAAAGTATTACAAGGACAAGGTCTTATAACTGCGCACATTCCTCAACAAACTTCCCATTCATTTATATCTGCGCGGAGGGGTTATAATCTGTTACTCTTATTTCTAACTTGATGCTCAAGTCATCTGAACTGGCCAGTGGGGGTCCTTTAAGCTGCCTCCTGAGTCCTTCCAGGTGTTCTCATCTGTCTTTATACATTTTCCAAATTTGTGTCCCCAAAAGATGTTCCAGGTTCATCTTGTCTCTTCCTTGTGCCCCACCCCCACCCCAGCCCTCCGGAATCAGCCATTTTTCCAAAGAGTGGGGATTTTTGAAATTGGGTAGCTGACCCCTCACCTCCGAGTGACCCCCTCGGACTCTGATTTCAATGCGACGGGGCCCGCCAATGGCAGAGGCGATGCTCTAGCAGTTGCCATGGAGATCTCCGGGCCGCAGAACGGAAGAAGGCGGTGACGTCACTGCAGGAGCAAGTGCAGCGGCCGCGTCCTGGTCTTGGCCCCGCCCCAGGGCACTAAGGGCAACCTCTGGGCCAGCGGTAGGGGACGAGTCACCCTGCCTGCCAGACCCGCACCCAGGACGCGCTGGTGGCAGCAGTCCCAGGGAGATCAGCCGTCACAAATCTGCTGAGACTGTCAGGGCCTGGGGGACCTTCGGAGGCCACCACCAATAAAGAGGCATCTTCAGACCCTCCCTCGTGCGGCCTTGCGCCGGACCCGGGAGCCACGAATCGGCTGGCAAACACCCACCTCGGCTAGCCTGGGACGCGTGAGTCCCCTCTCCTAGGGCTACATCGTGCAGCCCTGCTCGCAGGGACCGGGGACGCCCTGCCTGAGCTTCTAGCTGGGTCTGTCTCTAGCCTCCGCCGGTGAGGCCTCATTCCCAGGTAGGCTTGGGAAAGCGATCGTGGCACCCTGGATCAGTTTTTGGATTCCCGAGGCAGCTCCAGCGCGCACCAGCGGGCATACAGCTGCCTCAAGGAGTTGGGCAAGATGCTGTTTGGTGTCAAGGACATCGCACTGCTGGAGCACGGGTGCAAGGCCTTGGAGGTGGACAGTTACAAGTCCCTGATGATCCTGGGGATTCCGGAGGACTGCAACCACGAGGAGTTTGAGGAGATCATACGGGTCCCTCTCAAGCCTCTGGGCAAATTCGAAGTGGCTGGGAAAGCCTTTCTGGAGGAAGACAGGACCAAGGCAGCCATCATTAGACTGGCGGAGGAGCTCAACTATGCCGTGGTCCCCAGGGAGATCAAGGGCAAGGGCGGGATGTGGAGAGTGGTCTACATGCCCCGGAAGCAGGACGTCGAATTCCTGACCAAGCTGAACCTGTTCCTGCAGAGCGAGGGCCGAACGGTGGAAGATGTGGCCCGAGTCCTGAGACAGGAACTGTGCCCGACAGCGACAGGTCCCAGAGAGCTGCCCGCCGTGAAGTGCTGCCTGCCTCTGCCTGGGGAGCACCCAGAGGCCGGGGCCACTGCCAGGGTGGATGCGGTGCCACCTCCGAGCTCCCTGGAGAAGGAGAGCAAGGCTGGAGAGGGCAAGAGGAGCAAGAGGAAGCACAAGAAAAACCGTCGACGGCGCCACGCCTCCGACAAGAAGCTGTGAGCTGGCGTCGGGGGGCGGGGCACGTGGAGCAGCGTGGGAATGTTCTGAGTGGTTGTGGGGGTGACGGGGGAGGGCGGGCATAGCTGAGGAACCTTGGGGGGTGTAGTGAGGGGGGTAGCCTGCGCCAAGGGACGGTGGTGGTTCCAATGAGTGGGTGACTTCTGAGTAAGAATGAGTGTCAGAGGTGACATCGCACTAGTGTGGATGAACTAGGGATTTTCATCTAACTTTGGGTTGCAGCCGAGTGGGTGTGGCTAACATCTGGTTCAATGTGGGTCCTTCCTTCTTTCATTCGCTCTGCAGATATTTATGGACCTGCCGTGCCCTAGCTTTGTCCTAAGAGCTGGGGATACAGAAGAACATTAAAAAATAATAATAATCCCTGCCTTCAGGACACTCACTCGTCAGTGGGTAAAGACCATAATGATCGTGTTACTTGGACACATGGAGGGAGGGAGGTGGTCTGAGTAGCTGTAGGTGGGCTCCGTGCTCACGTCTGGTTGAGTCTGGATACTTCACTCATCGGCCCATTCATTCATTATTTCCTCTAACCAGCGAATATTTCCTGAGCATCTGCCGTGTGCTAGGCACTGGGGAAATGGCGGGAAACAATTCAGACCTAAACCTTGCCCTCGTGGCTGTCATACCCAATGTGAGTCGATGCGGATGACATCTGAGTCACCTGAATACACGGGTTGAGCAGGGCGCTCAGCTTATGGGCGGCATCTGCGCATGATTGTGCTGAGTTCCGGTGGGTAGTCATTTGAAAACCTATGGGTGACATTTGAGAGTAGGCACCTGAGTGTGTGCGTGGGTTTGAGTGAGTGAGGGTAACTTCTGAGTGAGGAGGGGTCACAAAGACCCGCTTCTCACTACGCGGGGACAGCGCGGGACCAGCCGCGCAGTCGCAGTCGAGCCAGAGAAAAGCCCTGCGTCCCGACAGTTGCCGTGGAGACCGTAGCTGCCCCCAGGCGCCTGCTGGGGTTTGCAGGAAACGGAGGGGACACACAATGTTCTGGATTTCAAGGTTTGCAGAAGGTCTTTTGCCAGAGTTGAGAAAAACCCACGCACAGCCTGGAAGACTGTCAAGGTGACCCCTGCTCCGCCATCATCAGGGGCCAGGTGTTGCGCATGGCCCCGCTGGTGAGGGACGAGGGACCTAGACTCCGTATCTTTACATTCTTCTGGAAATCCCGCCATTGCAAAGTCTAGAGCGGTTTTCCGTCTTTCAAAGGGATGTCCCTTGAATGTACCTCTGGCTCGAATTTGTCCCGAGGGTGCCACCTTGGTGAGCGGGCTCCCTGCTCACCACCACTGAGGAACTGTGCATGACTCTCAAAAACTGTCGCTGTTCTCCACACGTTGTCTCTCTTGCAGAAGTGGTGAGACTGGGCGCTTCTGCCCTCATTGGCCCTGGGGTGAAGAGTGGGTCTCCCCACATTAAGTCCCAGAAGTCCTCCCGGGCGGGGGCGGGGCGGTCGCTCCACTCTCTAAAGAAGGAAAGGCAAGACTTCCCGTAAAAGAGAAGAAAAACTAACTAAGAGTCCACTTTGAAGAGTCATTAAGAAGCACCGAGTCCCCAATCCCGTGAGCTGAGTACCCTGGATGGTGATGAAGGAGAAAAGGAATCAGATAAAATGCAATTGTGAGTGTCCAGTCCTCTCTCCTTCAGGAACACCAGGCTGAATTTGCAAACCTCCATCGGTTCAGGGATCTGCAAAGGTTTGAATGACTTTATTTTCAAAAGTGTAATTTACACAGACACACACACACACACACACACATGCTTAGATTCTTATTCACTGGAGCCCCACAGTGTCTTAGGGGGTTGGGCATCAGTCCTGTGTAGAACCTCCAGCATCCATTCCCCTTTCTCATTGTTTGGAAAGCTGTCCCCAACAACCCCTGACCAGAGCCAACCCCTCACCCTAACAGCCAGACCCCTCAGGTCCTGTTAGGTCCCCCTGGTTCCCAGCAAGCTTCAGGAAACCTAAGGAATTTTTAGGATTCACTTGGTTGATGTAACCAAACCCCAACCTTAAAGACTCTGATTGCTGCCCATTTCCCAAGCGTTGACCTCAGCGTCTTTATGTGTGTGTGTGTGTGTGTGTGTGTGTGTGTGTGTGTGTGTCTGCGCGCACAACAGTGGGATGAAGCTTTTCCTGCCATCCTCACATATATATTTGAACTTCTGCCCATCCATGGTCAAGAAGTCTGTAGCTCCATACCGATCTTTTCATCTCCTATAAATCCCCGCCCAGGGCACATCCACTCGCAGAACGTTCTACCACTCTGCTTCTTGTTCCCTCACAGTCTGAACTTGGATAAAGGCCACACAGGTCCCAGCATGTTTGTTGCATGCAGACCGTGCTCCCTTCAGGGCACAACTGTTGTATAGGACAATGTGACATTTCTTATCATCATTTTGCAGTCCTGAGACAGTGTTTGTGCTTCTCATGGGTTTGGGTGTCTCCCATCTAGCTTTTGTATTTGTGATACACAACCTGAGTGTGTGTTGGTTTTGATGCATCAAGATCACTTCCTTTCCGAGACTTTTTGGGACCCATTGGAGAGTCTGACAGGGTTGCAATGCACACCATTAGATTAAAAACCATCAACCACCTTGAGTCAAGGCCTCACTAGCACAGCAGATTCCAAGCCGGAATTCCCAAGTAGATTGGACAGGCCGCAGCTGCCTTTGTAAAGCCCCGATTTCAAAGGTGGGTTTAGCTGAAACCCTTCATCGCTTTTTGTGGTTGATGTTCTATTGTACAAATAAGAATTGACAAAATAAATGTATGCTACTGAAAAAGTCTGCTCTTTAATGTTTTGGGCAGTTGAGGGGGGTCTATATAAGGTTCAATTTGGAAAAAAAAAATTCTTTAAAAAAAAAATCTCTTCCATGGATTGTCTGAAGGTTTCCAGAACTGTGTTATTTTAAAAGGGATGTTATCCAATCATGAGAGCCAAGAGGACCAAAATATGTAGGTTTCTTCTATGCCGCGAGCTTCCCAAGACCTGAGGCCATTTCCCTGTGGCTGATATGAAAGATGGAAAAACAGATCAGGAATAAAAGCAGCACAGGGCCCTTGGGCTCCAAGGCACTGCACAAAGGAGCAGGAGAGAGGACAGTGACCAAAGCCAGACACTCTCATACCTTTTAGACAAAGAGTCAATCTGTGGGGTTTTGTTTGCATGCGTGTTTGGTGTCTGTTTTTGCAGCGTGAGGGATAGAACCAGGGCCCCCTGTGTGCTGGGCAGGGCGACCCCTGAGCTCCAGCCCGAGAACAATCCATGGAGCACCGGACAAGACAAAGCAGCAGCTTAAAAGCTTAAAAGCGGAAGCGGGTGGAATGCAAATAAACGGGAGGATTGTGTTTGTTTTCAGATTTCTCTGGTGCCTGGCTCTGAGAGGATAAAAGCTGTGTCCAGTGGAGGAGGATTTATGTCCTGCCTTTAGGAGGACAGAGAAAAAGAACAGGGAGTGCTCTGCCTCCTAACCTCCTTAACTCATTAGTCCTCAGTGTTTGAGGGGAATCTATGTTTTCCTTCATCTGCAAGGTGCTGCGCTGCGGGCCACAATCCCTAGACCGAGCCCTCCTGCCAGCTGTAGTGGCAATGACTTGCAGATTGTTGCAGCTTTGAATTTTATTATTATTTTTTGCAATGCTGGGGATGCCCAGGACTTTGCACCACTAAGGAAGCGCTCAGCCACTGGGCTGCACCCCCAGCCCAGGGAACTTTGAGTTCTAGAACAATGATGTGGTGACCAAAACTAAGATTGTAGGGTCTACTCCCCAGGGAGTCGGGCAGGCCCCATAATCACAATAATTTTGTAGGAAAAAGTAGTATATTGACACCAAAGAAGACTATGAGAGTTCTTATATTTGCCTACGTCTAGGTTTTTTCTCTTTCCCTCCCCATCCATCCACCCTTCCTTCTTTCCTTCCTTCTCCCTGTTTTTCAGCGGGGGTCTCACTATGTTGCACAGGTTGGCAACTGGGCTCAAGGGATCGTCCTGCCTCACCCTCCTGAGTAGCTAGGACCACAGTCATTGCCACCAAGGCTGGCTTCCAATGTCCTTTACTCATGCTGAGCTCTTGGTGTTCAGATTCCTTCGGATTTCGGAAGAGCCGACAAGGAATTGGATTATGAACCAGGGTGAGAGCCTGGGCAAGGCATTTAACCTTCCTGGGCCTCAGTTATCTTATCTGTAAAATGGGACAGCAGCCACCTATTTCTGCAGGTTCAGAGATGTGGGTAAACGTGCAGCTGTGTAGCCAGGCTGGGGGCTATGGCACACTCCTGTAATCCCAGCACCTTGGGAGGCTGAGAATTGCAAGTTTGAGGCCAGCCTCAGCAACTTAGTGAGGTCCTCAGCTACTTGGTATGACCCTGTCTCAAAAAATAAAAAAGGGCTGAGGATGGAGCTCAGTAGAAAAGTGCTGCTGGGTTCCATCCCCAGTACAACAACAAACAAAAAATAGCAAAACGTGATGTGTGTGTGGGGGGGGGGGGGGGAGGGAGGAAGCTGTGAAATACTGGCCCCTGGGATCCTGGACTAGGGACAAATGTGTGTTGCATCCACAAAGACCTTAGCCTGATTTTCCAGCTCAGATTCCTAAACTGATAAGTATCCCTCAAAAGAGGCATCTGTTCCCTCTGTGCCTGCAGAAGGCTGTTTTGGACCCTGGATGCTAAGAGCCAAGCAGGCAAGTATGCCCAGGTAATGCTTTTTGGGAGACGTTTAACCAATCTGTGCCCCAGACAGAAAGGGCATTGGAGGCCCTGGAATGCACAGACCTGGGTTTAAATCTTGGCTCTGCCACCAACTAAGCTGTGTGACTGGGGGGAGGGGGAGGCTTCACCTTTCTGGGCCTCAGTTTCTTCACCCATAAAATGGGTCTAATATTCCTCATGCCACAGGGTTCTTTGCCCTAGAGTGTGTGCCCCTTGCCCTGGGACTTAGGCTCTGGAATATCCACAGCAGCCCAAGAAGC